ATTGTTAATTTTAATTTTTGTGGGCACATAGTAGGTGTATATATTTATGGGCTACATGGGATGTTTTGATACATACAATGTGTAATAATCACATCTTGTGAATTGGGGTACCCATTCCTAGAGTGGGATTTGCATTAACAGTGTAACCAGCTGACAAAGAGTTCATTCCAGGGGTGGGAGGCGTGTGACTTATTTTCTTGGTCACTTGCTCTTGCATTATCAACACAACTGTCAATCTGTGGTTTCTCTGCCGGGAAACTTATAAAGCTACTTGTCCTTCCTGTGAGGGGTAGTTAGCTGAGTTTCAGTAACGCCAAATACCGGAACCTGCAAGTCCACATCCTTGGCACACATAACTATACTGAAAGCAAATGAGCAATGAGAGGACCCTGGTCAACACTCTGCATTTAGGAAAGTCTGCTCCTCCTCCAAGGCACCTCGAGAACTAATGTGGCATACACCCATCTGACATAGGGACCAAATGAGGGCACCAAGTCCACAGAGATATTTTATTTATTTAATTTATTCTATCTATCTATCTATCTATCTATCTATCTGTCTATTTGAGACAGGGTCTCTGTCTTTCACCCAGGCTGGAGTGCATAGCTCACTGTAACCTCAAACGCGTGGGCTCAAGCAATCCTGGGCTCAAGCAATCCTGGACTCAAGCAATCCTGGGCTCAAGCAATCCTGGGCTCAAGCATTCCTCCTGCCTCAGCCTCCTAAGTAGCTAGGACTACAGGAGCATACCGCCATGTCCAGCTAATTAAAAAAATTTTTTTTCTATAGAAACAAGGGTCTTGCTGTGTTGCCCAGGCTGGTCTCAAACTCCTAGGCTCCAGTGATCCTCCTGTCTCAGCCTTCCAAAGTGCTGGGATTACTGGAGTGAGCCACTGTGCCTGGCCTGTATATTAAATATTAGTAAAAGTATAGGTGTTTCTCATGTGTTTAGATAAAAATTAATACAAATAGACATTCTGTAACTTTCTCTTCCCACCCCAATTCTGGAGACTCTCCTCTGGTGACCCCAGCTGTGAACCAGGGAAGCAGCAGGCATGGGGGCAGGGGAGTTTGGTGCGTGTCCTGTTCAGAAAGCACAGCTAGCTCAGGAGGCTGCAGGAGATGGCTGGGAAAAGCGGACAAGGCAGACAGAGAGTGAGGTGGGGCTCTCTGCCACTCTGCCCGGCCAGGTGCTGATGCTCAGACGCTGCCTCGCCTGGCTGCGGGCCACATGGCTGGCTCAAGTCCTACCACTGGACCAGAACATCCAGTTCCACCAGCTCATGGGCTACGTGGTGGTGGGGCTATCTCTTGTGCACACTGTGGCTCACATTGTGAACTTTGGTGAGTGATCCGGGGCAGAGTTGGGTTGGGGAGAACCTGGAGCAGCTCCAAGCCCAGAATACAGGGCCCAGGCACCCTGAGTGCCCTGCCTGCTCAAAGGTGAGAGAAGGGGTGCCCTGGATAAACCAATGCTCTGGACAAATTTTCTGCCTGTGCTAGTATCTGATAGTACAGGGTGGGGATCCCAAGGGAAGGTGGAGTGGGAAAAGCTGGTCTTGCAGTCATTCAGATTTCTGGGCTTGTTTCCAGCACTCCAGGCTCAGGCAGAGGCCAGCCCTTTCCAGCTCTGGGAGCTGCTGCTCACCAGGAGGCCTTGAATTGGCTGGGTGCACGGCTCAGCCTCCCTGACAGGTGTCGCTCTGCTGTTGCTGCTCCTCCTCATGTTCACCTGCTCCAGCTCGGGCATCCGCAGGAGTGGCCACTTTGAGGTGCTCCAGTCCCTGCCCTTTTGCTTCCCCCAAGGCCAGGGTTCTATCTTCATTTCTTTCTGTGTCCCTTCTACTTTACTCCAGAGCCCAGGAAAGTCCCAAGCTGGTCTGCGTGTTATCTGCATGTGATTTAGGGCCTGCTGCTGGGTTCTGCCACTGGACTGTAGTTTGTGTCTGCCAAGTGTAGACGTTTTGCTCTGGGAGTGTCTGCCTTTCTGCTGGCTTATCCCTTTAACCTATTTGGGTTAAGTTGGACTTAAAACAGCACAGGGAGGGGAAGAAACACAGGCTCGGCAGGTTTTGAATCCCCACTCCCCTGCTTACTGGTCACTCCACCTTTCCAAGCCTCAGTTTTCTCATCTGTAAAATGGAGGTGTAATTCTCAATGTTATTTTAGGAATTATTGGCGATAATTCATGTAAAACCACTAACTACATACCTAGCATGTAGGTGCTCTGAAAATGTCAGTTCCGTCTTTGCTTCCATCTCTCCAGCTTCCTCAAGATGCAGAAAGTCACAGACAATTTGGTTTGGAGACCTTGACAGTCTCCTGGCCTAGGCACATCAGAAATAGACATATATGAATACCTACTGTGGGCCAGCAACAAGCCTTAGAAGTAGGAATCAGAAGCCTCATTTGACCGATGAGGAATCTGACATGCAGAAAACTAATAAAATTGGCTAAGAGTCCATAGCTTTAGAAGGTGCCAAAATCGTCTTCCACTATTTCTTCTCCACTCCCAGGAAGCCATTGCTGCCTTTTCTTCCTTGCTTCTGAGAATGGGTCAGGGGATCGAGATATTGATGCTCATAATCCCTGTGGGGGCACTCCACTCTGCCCAGAACCTCCCAGGCAGATATTTCAGATGTTTGCCTCTGGGATCAGAAATCTTCCCTCAAAGGCTCCCTTGCCCAAGCCCTCGGAAAAAGAATCTTCCCAACCCCAACCTCTCACCCAACCCCATCCCCAGGAGAGAGTCAAGGCTCTGGGCACTGTCCTGGCTTTGAGGGTAACCCTGAGTCCTGTCTCTGTCCCACCCCCGAGGCCTTGAGCTCTGGAAGTTTACTGCCCCCACCCCCACCCCACAGGCGTTCTGTTGGACTCACCTGTCCCACCTCCTCGTGTGGGTTCTGCTCATCCTTCATGGGCCCAACTTCTGGAAGTGGCTGCTGGTTCCTGGAATCTTGTTTTTCCTGGAGAAGGCCATCGGGCTGGCAGTGTCCCGCATGGCAGCCGTGCGCATCGTGGGAGTCAACCTCCTCCCCTCCAAGGTACAGAGGGTGGGTGGGGGAGGCCTTTTTCACCCCAAGAGACAGTTGGTGGGGTAGAACAGTTGGGTACCCTGTCAGACCCCCAAGGAAATAGGAAATAGTGTAGCTGCAGTCCTACTGCTAAGGAGGAGACAAGCAAAATGCAACACGCAGTCCGGCCCTCCAGGAGGGAGGCTTTGGGAAGGTGAATGACAGGGCAGGCAATACACCTCTAAAATCCAGATTTCGGGCGAGCGTTCTCCTTCAGCTCAGTAAGCATCACTCAGTAGTGCCTACAGGGCGGCAGGCCCTGAACTAGGTTACAGAGACACAGAGAAGGTCTGCACGGTCCTGCTTTCTAGGGGAGCCAGGCCTCTCATTACAGTGCAGGGCTGTGTTGCTGAAAGAAGTAGAATGCCCTGCGGCATTAAACCCTTTGTCTTTGGGAGGTCCGGGAAGGCTTCAGAATGAGGGAGAAGATGCCATATCAGGGTTTTGAGGGATGAATAGGAGTTTGTTGGATAGAGAAGATAAGGAAGGGTATTGCTGGCAGAAGGAACAGCACGTTAAAGACACAGAGTTGTGAAAGGGTATGCTGCGCTTGGGGGACCACAGGTGATTTGACATAGCTTGGGCTAAGTTGCCAGGAAGAAGCCAGAGAGGTAAGCAAGGCCTGATCCTGAAGGGCCTTCTGAGCTGGGAGACCCACCCTGCAGGCCATGGGGAACCCCTGAGCATGCTGGGAGGAGATGCTGGTATTAAGCTGGGACCATTAATATTCTAGTTAGATTTCTTTAGTGCTCTGTGGAAGGTGGCTTGGAGGGGGCTTGTGGTGAGCTTCTTGCAAATGCAAAGATAAGAGTTCATGAGGGCAGTGGCCATGGGATGGAGGAAGGTGAACATCACGGAAAGACTCAAGAAGTAACTGCCTATGTTTTGGGGCTACAGAGAGGATGGAGTCTAGGATGTCTCGCAGGTGTCTGAGTTGTGCCATCTATGGAGAAAGGGAAGGCAGTTCTAGGCGGGCTTGGCTCTGGACACGCTGAGTTGGAGGACCTGGGAGGCTGAAGGATGACGCTGTGCTGTGTGTCTAGGCTGTGGCATCCAACAGCCTCAGCTGCACTCAAATCCCACAGTTTCTTACCCGGTGGCCCTGGGAAGTTACTTGACCTCTCTGAGCCTCCGCTTCTCATCCCTAAAGTGGAGAGAAATTAATATCTGTCTCATAGAGTTGCTGTGAGGTCTACAGATAAAACACAGTGCTCCAAAGCAATTGTCCAGAAGGGTGTTGTTATCCAAGGAGAGATGCCCATTGGTGATTGGAATGCTGGCCAAGGCCTTGCCAAAGTTCCTAGAAAGGGCTGGAGCAGCCAGGGAGGCCTCACAGGTCCACTAAAAAGCAGTGCTTACACCCTGAGAAGCGGGAGAAAACCAGGGGCCCACTTCAGACACAGCCTGCTGCCCCCTCTAGGATTGCTGCCCACTTCCAGATTGACAGGTTGGCTGCTGGGGTGGGCCCCCACTCAGAAGCACAGAAGAGTGTCGTGTCTCGAGGGCTGCCTGTTTTATGGAGGAGAAGGGCAGCCCAGCCTCTGCCCTCTCGTCCTGGAGCCCCTGGTGGCTTTGGGCCTGCAGGAATGACACTGATCTCCTTCCTCTCTCCCAGGTCACCCATCTCATCAAGCAGCCCCCTTTCTTTCCCTATAGACCTGGAGACTACTTGTATCTGGACATCCCCACCATCGCTCACTATCAGTGGCACCCCTTCACCATCAGCAGTGCTCCTGAGCAGAAAGGTAACAGCCACCTCCTCCAGTCACTGCTCATATTCAGTGAGTTCCCACCATGGGCCTCAAGTACAGGCTGGGAACTCGGAACACAGCGCTGAGCATAGCCAAAAACACAAAGTCAGCCTCAAAAAGCTCTCTCTGAAGTGGGAGCAGGCATGCAGACACCGACTGTCATGGCAAGGGCTGTGCCTGCCTCACGGAAGTCTTACAGGGAGGGCCTGGCTTAGCGGGGAGAAGCCTTTACAGACACAGGGGCATTCAACTAGACTTTGAATGATTAGTAGGAGTTTACCAGACAGGGACGGAGATGGGGAGGAGGCAGAAGAAAACGCAGAAGTAAAAACATGAGGACCTGGAGACTGAGAAGAGGCCTGTAGCTAAAGCTACAGTGGGGAGCAGGAGGAGCAGCAAGGAAAGAAGGGAGGGACACGCAGAGAGAGAAAGAGACAGAGCATGAAAGACAGATGACGTGGCTGGCAGAGCCAATCAGAGCTAGGATGGGACCAAGGAGGATTTCAGAAGCCAAAAAAAAAAAAAAAGGAAAAGGGCAGAGCTGAAAGCAGGGGATCTCTTGCATCCTCCTCTCTCTCATGTCGTGGATTCTATTTAGTACCACTGAGCAGAAGAGTCATGTCACCTCACACCACATTTCCATCAGCCGTTCATTCAGCAGAGGACCTTAGTAACCACCTGCCACATCCCAGGCATGGGTGCCATGAAAGCAGTTGGTACCACCATGGACTGAGTGCCTACTGTGTGCAGAGCCACTGAATGGTAAGAGGGCCTGTTTTGGTGAGACTTTGGCCTGATGGAGGTGGCAGGGTCCCCACCTTTAGAAAATTCCTGGTGGACTGCCCTGATTCTTTCTTTGGCACACGAGTCTGAACCCTCATTAAGCTCAGGTTGACTTCATCGAGAAAGATCTCAAGGTCTGCACCAGAGAGAACCGCTGCCCTGTGGCTGTGGCTGCTAGTTTGGTTCTGAGGAAGGGCATTCAAACCAGGACTTGGGGGCTGAGGCCCAGCACCAATCCCTCCAGTGGGGTGACGCCTGCTCCCTGGTGCCAGGCACTATGGACCCCCTTTCCCCTCCCACCCTTCTCTTGCTCAGACACAATCTGGCTGCACATCCCGTCCCAAGGCCAGTGGACAAACAGGCTGTATGAGTCCTTCAAGGCATCAGACCCACTGAGCTGTGGTTCCAAGAGGCTGTCAAGGAGCGTGATGATGAGAAAAAAAAGATGTAGTAAGTGGAAAAGGCAGGTTACTAAAAAGGACGCTCCATTTATGTAAAAGTGTCATGTATGTCTGTGTTAGAAAAAAAATCTATAAGGGCACAGGGAAAATGTTGAGTAGTTATGTGCTCTGATGCTTTTCTCACTTGATTGTTTAATAATTTCTATATCTATATTTTTAAAGCTAACATTACGATTTGTGATTTGAATAATAAAGCAATTTCTGTTTTGAAACAAAGTAGAGTGTACAGCCCTGCCCACCCCTCTCTGTATCTCAGCACAGGGAGTTAGGGACGTTACTGGAGCTGAAGGTCCTGCAGGCCCGGGGGAGATCCCTGGCCACGGGACGAAGATCCGGTGTACACGAAGACAAAGGAGGAGACTCAAGCATGGCGGGAAGCCTCTTCTGAAGACAGTGGCCTAGTGAGGCTGAGGAAGGCGGGACTGGAGGCAGGAGGCTCAGCTGGCTTATCTTCTCAGGAACTGGGGGCCTTGGAACCTTGCCTTAAGGGCAAGCCATGTTCAGGAAGGACCACACATCACCTGGGTGTCTCTGAGGCCAATCATCTGCCTGAAACCTTCCTAACATTTGCGTAATCACTGCAGTAATACTTGCTACTTAGCTTTTCTTTTACATCCCAACGTTACTTTAAACTTAATTGTATTTCAAAAGGAATCTTAAGATTATTATCTCTAATGGAAAACAGTATCGTGTGCCATGAGCAGAGGATAGCTTTGAAAGTAAAAACAATGGGAATCAATGTTATTAAATTCGGCCGGGCGCCGTGGCTCACGCCTGTAATCCCAGCACTGTGGGAGGCCGAGGCGGGTGGATCACGAGGCCAAGAGATCGAGACCATCCTGGTCAACGTGGTGAAACCCTGTCTCTACTAAAAGTACAAAAAATCAGCTGGGCATGGTGGCGCGTGCCTGTAATCCCAGCTACTCAGGAGGCTGAGGCAGGAGAATTGCCTGAACCCAGGAGGCGGAGGTTGCGGTGAGCCGAGATCGCGCCATTGCACTCCAGCCTGGGTAATGAGTGAAGCTCCGTCTCAAAAAAAAAAAAAAAAAAAAAAAAAA